GCATCTAGGCCAACAGAAGCCCAACGAGGTTTGTATTGAGCAAAACCCAGGTTCACATTCCAATTCTAATGATATATGATTGATTTACTGCCATTTCATTCTATTCTCTACTAATCTTATCCTTTTGCCAAGCCAACTCTCTCTATTTGTTGTTATTACTACTATCATGCATATATATCATATTCATGTAATTAATACAAGCCTTTTTTTCAACTATACACTGACCAAACTAATTTGAAAGAGAAATCTCACCTATTTTACTTTATCAGCTCTTCAGTTTCAGTTTTATTTTCGGTCCATTACTTACTTATTTTTAGCACCATCAATATATTAACCGACAACAACAGCTAACTACTTGAGTTAAGTCTCTGATATACATACTATTTTGCTAAATCTACTCGTTGATCTTGCCATTCCATCTCTACTACGCTATTTACTACCTATCTTTTGCTATTCCTTCGTGTGTGTATTTATGTCGTATATTTCAATTCCTTTATTTTCTAGCACATTGGTAAAAATACCATCATCATCCGAATAAAGTAAAACAAAATCACCACAAAATCCCACTTAACAGTTAACAAGCACCAAATGCAGAGGAACACAAACATTTTCCCCAAATCTCAAAGTCATAAATCCATACTCGCGTCACCCAAAAACGCCAGACACTAATACCAAACAATCAAAACTGCCCAATCCGCAAATAAACCGCGAATTTCCAAATTTAAAGCCATATTAACACAAATGTTCCATATCCAAAATCGTCACACCACACAGACATGTTTCCAAAATTCAGATCTGTGCATCTATTCCAGATTCACAAAATAATCACCAATCAAATTTAGGGAACCTCACCTAATCAATTTCGTCTTAAGACCTGCTTCAAAACAAAAAATAGAAGTCAGAGTCGATTAAAGGGTTAATAAACCTAAAATAAAAATTACCGAGGCAAGAAAACTCACCTGTCGCCGTCAATCGCCATCGACGGAGCTTTGACGCCGGGGTTCTAAGCCGCCGAGCGTCTCCTCTTTCTCCCCTCCATCGTGGCCAAATCAGGCGACCCCCAGAAAACCCAAATCAACATGCAATGCGAAAACCCAGAAAATTAGTAGAATCCGAAATAAAAATCAGAAAATAAAAATAAAAAACAACACCATGCATGTCTCGATTTTACCTAGAATCGAGATAATCTCGGTTGATTTAATTCGACTCGAATGGTCTCCTTGGCTAGCATAGACGAGAGAGAGAGTCCTTTTGGGTGGTCGGAGACGAGGAGAGGAAGAATAAGGTGGCGGCGGAGTCATTGAGGAAGGGTGAAGGGCTTTTCTTTTTGGCGTTCGTCTGGAGAGGAAGGTGAGCAGAAGAAGAGAGAAGCGTGAGTGAGAGAAGAGAGAGGTGAGGAGTGGCGGCGGCTTTCAGAGAGTGAGGGTTTCGTTCTCTAGAGAAGAAAGGAGAAATGAAGGAGAGAGAGAGAGAGAGCGATGTAGAGAGAGAGGGGAGCGGCCGTTCGCCCAGCTGCTAGGTTAGATTAGGGGTTTTCTCAGTTAAAGCCCAATTATATACCTCTGGCCTCAACCTAAATGACCGATCTGCCCCCTTCTCCATAAATCGACCAATACATAAAAACCTTCACGGTGTTTCGAAACACCGACCTCCAGCTCTCAGCTTCCCACTATTCAACATAACAAACCACTGAGATACATCATAATCCTTGAACTTTTAAGTCCCTCGCTTTATTTTGTTCCTCATTCCATCTTAATACGTAATCCATTAAAAGTATTAGAAACCTCAATCTAGTTAGATAATAAATTTCCTACAATTCTTCTAAATATCTTTTTCAATACATCATTACCCATTTGTATACATTTTTTTCCTAAAGATTCAGTAAATTGAACTCACGGTTAATAGATCATGATAATTTTTATAATGAACTCTTCCATAACCATTAATCAATTGATTCCAGCTAACCAATAACTTTTCATTTATCGAGATGTACGTCAATAGACGTAGAATCTCATCGTATACCAATAGTATACGAAATTTATTTTAACTCAATAGTCCAATAGGACTTTAAGTTAAATCATTAACAATTTAAACACCCAAACCTCTAAACTTATCGATTTAAGTAGTACCAATTTTGGGCGTTGTGGGGTGTGAATACACTTCCCCACACGTAACTGTACTCACGAACACAAAATCCTAAATTTCGCAGACTAAATCCCGGTTTCGATCCTAAGGTCGAGACCGGGCCAAAAGGTGTTCGATCCACCACAAGTAAGGTCGATGGTGACTCCGAGCACATCGCGACGGATTCCCCCGATTTCGGAGGTGCGGTTGCGACAACTATCATAAACTATCATTATATAAGCAATAATAATAAGACTAACCATCCATGATTATCATCATTCATCATCTCTGCACCTTCATATAGTTAGCTTACAACAAATCCTTAACATAAATATTAAGTACATACCAATACCACTCATCGGGAAGTTAAAGCTCTCCTACAAAACACTTAAACTATACATAGTTTGAGGTGGCTGTCATGGTATTGTACGTAATCCTAAAGTCTAGTAATTGTCCAAAATGTTTTGGTTTAGTAAATAGGCAAGGTAATTAATTTTTGACCCATAATGTTTTGGTTTGTTGTGCACATGGAAATAAAATAGTGAATCACAAAAGTTTGGTTTGGTTGGTTACATGGAAGTATAAATAATTTTGTATATTAGGTGTATCATTAATTGGTTAATTGATTTCATTGGTTAGCAGTGTTGAAATCAAACCAAACCACCTAATAAACAAAATAAACTAAATTGTTTAACCAAACCAGACCAATTATCCAAATTAACCGAATACTACTTGTTAATATGGTTAGACTAACAAGTCGGCAAATTAAGCTAGCAACTATACTATCTTGCTAATCTAGGAAGCAGAGTTGAACTGTGAAAGGCTTATTAGTCTACCATAAAAGAAGACAAACCCAAAACAACGAAGCATTTTGGAGGCCACCTCATACGATCCCATCAAGCCAACTTACCCTCCACATGATTTTCTAAATTTTAGCCCATGTCTGTTTGTAAACAAAGGGAAAATATGGAGCGACGAGGAAATCTGTGAGAGTGACAATGGTTGAAAACAAAAACTCAGGAGAAAGAAGCATCCAACACTCCAAAGGCAGTAGTGGATTACCTTAAGCTACCTTAACCAGAATGATGATAGCGAGTTGGAACTATAAGGGGTTGACCATAAGAAGGTCATAAAAAAAAATCTTGTATAGGTTGGAGTGGCTCAAGATAGAGTGGATAACTATGAGTAATCAAATCTGGACCATTCTTTTCAGTGGCTGCAGATCTAAGGGTGGAGAATTAAAGGAATTTATTTTCCCTCGCTTTTTTAATCGGACCATATCTTCTTCATTCTAACTCGGATTTCAATTTATTTTTTTTGCATAGATGGAACGACTTCGTTGTGCTCTACAAAATGATATCCAATTTCAATATTTTTTGAGAAATATTTTTTGATACCTCTCTGTACCATATAATATCTCCTTCGTTTTTTAGTCATTTTCAAAATATTTGCACAGAATGAATGATTTAATCAATGATCTATTGGATTTCAAAATTTTCTTGGTGAAAACATTTCATACCTCTCGTTACCAACTCCATACCATACTATACCACCCTGGTACGGAATGATATTTTTCATACCATATGGTATCCTCTTATTTAATACCAGTCAATACCATATGGTATAGACTAGTAATAACTGGCTCAAATTTTTTGTTCCAAAAAATATCAAACTGGATATCATTTTGAAGAGCATAATTAATCTGATCTAATTATGAAAAAAAAAATTCTGATTTAAAACAAGTGAGAAATCGTCTGTTAAAGATTTAAAGAGTGAAAATTAAAGGTTTTTTCAGGAGAGAGAAGGGGCACTATCTGTCCGTGCTCCTGAGGTTGTTTGTCATGAACTCTGTCACATCTTGTATCGGAGGGCTGAAGGTGATATTTCATTGCAGGGGAGTCTTCATGCGACTGGATTGGATAGATAGGCATAATGTATACGTCGTTTATCTAGTTTACATGAATAGTTATATTGTTTAAGAGGCACTCAAAGGAGTTTTATTCCCTTTGGGTTGCTTCAGTTTAATGCAATTTTTTGATTAACCATAAAAAAAAGAGAAAGAGCGCTAATGTGGCGGATTCTGATTGTGTTATGCATGGGCTATTGACCACAAGGTTATTGACAGGATCCGATTCGCTCCTAGTTAGAGCTATGAAGCTTACCTTTTTATTAGTGAAAGGGGAAAGGGCTTTTTTAGCTGGTGCGCAGGATCGCACTTCCGTTTTCTCTTTACTAGTAAGGGGTGTCATGGTTCCGATATTGGCGCCTTTCTACTAGGAAATCAACTGTTGATCCAACGAGGGCTCTTGCCTTCGTGCAATGCCCTTGCAGCAAGATGAGTATGTTTTTGAAAGGAAATATGTTTTTTATGTTATTAGTAAAGGTTAAATGTCCTTATTTCAAAATAAAGCGCCAACGCGCCTTATTTCGAAACAATTTATATCATCTGAAGGAAGGTGGAAGTGATTTATCAAATTATAGACGCTTGCAACTTCTATATTGATGTTAGCAGTGCAGTCAAAATCGCACTTTAAAGCGTAAAAGTATACGTTTTTATGTATCTAGGCAGTAAAATGATTTAGTTTCCATCTAAAATCGTTTTGTACTCAAAATTGGGCAAAAGCGTAAGTAAAAGTGTTAAAATCACTACAAACTCATAAAAACGCATTTTTGTAACGCTTTTCTACGATTCCAAGTAATGGGGGAACATGGTCCAATTTCATTTCAATGACGCCGTTTTAGCAGTAAAATAAAGGAAGGGGTGATGTCGAGTTGCTCATTCAACCGAGCATCTCCCCCAATTCGAAATCCCTGATTAGAGAACCAAAAAATTGTTTGCACGAAGTATCCACCGACTGCAAGCCCACAACCATCGGATGAGGGACGACCAGCCTCCACCATCGCCAGCAGATGCGAGGACTCCACCGTCGCCAGCTATGACACGCGGCCGCCACCGTCACCACTCGCAACCTTCGAGACTCGACCATCACCGTTCATCCCAGCACAATCTGCCTCTACCATCGCCGCTCGCCGTTGCCACCGAAATTGCTCCACTGATGCGGCCTTCCAGCTCCAACCAGGAGACCGTGTGAGTTGATGAATCAAGGGAGGAGTTCCATGCGACGACAGTGGTGAAATCTGGGCAGAAGAGATATGCTAGATTGGGAGAGTGTTGGTTGGGAAAGAATAATTTTTTTAATCGAATGTTGATATAATGAGATGGTGGATGCATTATTGAATGGTGGAGGGATAAAGATTGGAGAAACGAAGAGAAGATGAAATAAAGTAGGGATTAGGATTGAATTCCGAAAGGGTTAGTGGTACCGGGGGATTATTTTATTTTATTGTCTTTTGTTATGAAAACGTTAAAAATTAATCGTATTTATTTTTTGAAATTTTAATTGATGAGTTGGCACCAAGGTGAAAAATGAAATATAGTTATTCGTATCAACTTAATGTTAGTATGTATGTTAGGATGTTATGAGTTTGCTCTAATTTAGATATGAATTGCAAGTATTTATTCATTTATCTAACTTTGTCCACTCATATTCTACATAGTACATGTCGTACTTAATTGATTTAAAGCTATTTTACAGGATGCATTAAAAACTTAGGCTTTTACGCTTTGATTCTACGTTTTACGATTTTACCCCTTACCGCTTTTAGGTAGAAGCACACTTTTAACTGCATTGGATGTTAGGATTATCTATGGTACTAAATTTTTTTGTACATTTGTCCATTCCCCAACCAAAGTAGGGAGAATGGCCTTTTGGGAGCACCTAATCTTCATTCCTAGTAAAGTTGATGATAGGGGATCATTGTTTGTGGGAGATGTCAACGTTGCTCTGTACGACCATGAGAAAGAAGGGAGATGTCCCTTTCATAATGAAAATGTAGAAATGTTCAAGTATTTCCTTTAATAAGATGTGCTTATCGATCTCGAATTCAAAAGGCAACCTCTCTCTTGGTAAAGCAAACTTGAATTAGCCTTGTATCTTCTTCAAGGCTGGCAAATTTGAAAATGCGGGTTTTGTGAATGTATAAATGAATAAGATCATTGTCCCATCCAATTTCATTTTTATTTCAAAGTGATAATGAGACATACCTCTTTATGGTTTGAAAATGATGGAAAGATAGAGAGGAATGTGCTGCTATGATTAAAAAAAAGTGTGGGATACTGTTGGTAAACATGGTTCTAAGCTTTAACAATGCAATTGTGATTTGCAAAATTGGCAACGGAATATAGGAAAGAGAAAATGAAAAGAGAAGAAGAGCTTAAGGAGCAACTAAACTAAATACATTATCTAGTTTGGAACCAAACTGAAGTCAATGTTGAAAAAATGATGCTTTCTTAATTAGCTCTTATTTGGAAGTCAAAAGAGGAATCCTGGGCTTAATTCCCTAAAATTTGGTAGATCCAAAAGGACGATCGAAATACCACGTTCTTTCATGCGAGCACTTTCCAACCACGAAATATAAATCACATTCCTTAATGAGAGATAAAAGTGGTAATTAGATGGATGATGACACAACTCTTAGAGACCACTAATGACACATAAATTATACTATTTAGACCAATATTTTTTTTGTAAGAATTTAGACCAATATTTAATGTCACACACTACTTAGTTTTCACATCTTTAATTCCTTTTAATATCTTGATAATTGCTCCAAGGTGCGCTTGGTTGCTTCGAGGACTACTTTTACTATTTTGATGCCCTTTGGGTAATATTTTATGTGCTTTCATGCTAGAGTATTCTAGTGGACCACCTTGTATAAGTGGGTTATGTCAAGACCCCACTTTTAGAACTGAGAAATGAAGATTGGACCTCAAAGCCAAAATGGCACCAAATTTATTCGACCATAATCCAAATTGGCGCCTTGGTCACTATTACTCAGACCCAGATTAGCTCAAAATTGTGCTTATATTCCTTACTTGAAGGCTAAGATGTAGATATGCTATAGAGATTTTTTCCATAAGACTTCCACTCCTACTTTATTTATCAAAACACCTGCCTATTAACAGACCCTCTAAGCCAACATTCAAAGATGATCTCATAAAGAGGGCTTACTCTATCGATAGAGCAAGTCACTAGTTTAGAAATGATCCGTAGGTTCGCGGGTGTAATAGCGGCAAAATTGTACCCTGGGTGTCATTACTATTCTTGCTGTTATTTTTAGGGTCTTGGGGAATCCAATCTTTAGACTAATATTATCCCTAAGTTATGTCCCATGAGTGGTGAGTTTGTCAGTTGTGTAGTTTTATGAACCTTAGAGGTTCTTTAGACAATATAACGCTTGATTCTTGATTGTATATATATACAGTGTTAGTTTAAATCCCCCTTATTATGTTTATTGAAATTGGAGTATCATTGTACGCGTGAATATTAGTACATCGAATGCAATACACGTATAATAGAAACCTTTTTGCTATGTGACATATGCAAACTGTAATGTTGGCTAACCCACGTGTTTCTCTAGTACTTAACCCATGTGATAATCTCAATAGGGGATGGCAGGATAAAGAAGCATAGTCAGTAGATCAATCCGTTATGGTTTTCCTCAACCATGTATCTATGTATCAGTTTTCGTATCGAAGCATGTCTAAGGAAATTCTAAGGGGAGCTTTCCTATGCATCGTTTTTCTTTATGTTTACCTTTGTCCAGTAGATTATATTTACTTTCTTACTTTTACTTTTGTTTTAAAAAAAAAACTGGGGCACCTCAACCTCTACCCTTCATTTTAAAATCCAAGAGCAGGTCCCTTACTAACTGAGTAAGGGGAAGTGAGAGGCTCGTAGGAAATATGATTCTGGTTATCGACTAGTAGGGATGGCAGTAAAATCCATGATCGCGGTCCGCAAGTATCCGACCGCCCCCGACCCAGTCAACGCGGGGAATCCCGCAAAACATTTGATGGGTATGGGGAGAGTATGGTTTTAGCCTCCTCCGCTCCATACCTACCCCATCAAGAGCATTTCTTCACATATTTTTTTGAGTTACTCTCACTATGGATCAAATTGTAACCTATCAATCATAGTGAGAGTAACTCAAGAAAATAAATAGTAGAAATACAATTGAGTGACCACCCAAATCAAAACCTAATTCCTTTTCCTCAACTCTCTCTTTACTTTTTTACTTGTCTCCTCGTGTTAACAAGATTATGTTTGTTAGTTATTGATAACGATGTAATTGCACATATTTGCACCCCTAGTTCTTATCTGTTTGATGGGCATAGTCGTGTATTTTTTGCCTATTTTACGCCGGGTTGTGCTACTTTATCATATTTCAGGTCCCAGACGTCGAAGGAAAGGCTAAGCACGAGTTTCGGGACATTCGGAAGTCATTCGGTCGAGCTGGAGCCAAAACAAGGGCATGCCTAAATCAAAGCACGACCGTGTTCCTAGACCGTGCTTTTACTGTCGAGGCTTGATCTGAGTCTGTCAAACACTAGCTCAAAACACGGGCAGGACTGAGACAGAACACGGCCGTGTCCACCAAAAGCACGCCCGTGTTTTCCCCAAGAGTCTGGCCGTGTATTTAACACTTGGCAAGGGCACGGGCGGGCTGGAGCAGAACACGGCCGTGCCCTCGACCGTGTTTTGCCCAGTGATGCCCTTTTAGGCAGATTTCAGCCAAAATAGAAGGGGATTCGAGTTTTAGAGAGACAGAGCGATTCCTAGAGAGAGAAAGCGACGAACAAGAGTTCCCAAGTGCCCTAGCTTGATCTTCATCACCATTGGAGCTTGGCTTGAGCTTGGAGGAGTGCCGATCAACGTCCAGGAGCACAAATCCATCCTTCACAGTATGATTTCCGCGTCTGAATCTGCTTTTGCTTCTTTCTCCATGGAGTAGTTCTCCCATTCATCTGGGTATGGGAAACCCTAGATTTGTATGTTAGGTTTGATTGTATGAACCCAAGTACTGATTCTATGATTTGATTATATTCAATTGAGGTTTGAATGGTTGAATGGCATGAATCCTGATCAAATTCCTGTTGTTTCTGCTTTAACCTAGAATGAGAATATCTGCCTAGGTTGATAGAGCATCCTTGATTGAAGGTAGGGAGTTGGTGACTTTAGTCGAGGAGCCAACTCACTATTCTGTACCGAATTCACTTCGGTAGTGGAGGTTTTGTTCGTTAGGGCCTCAATCTGTTTACTCCGGTGGATGTTAGTCGCCCGCTACAGACTCAGATTGAGAGGGTCTGGAGACCTTTAGTCGAGACTTCAGACTGCTTAAGAACCTTCCGCAGTATAACTATCATAGAAATTGAACTTGGTAATTGCAATCCGCCTTAACTGCAGTCTAGGGGGAACCATATCCGGGTGACCTCTCTTAACCTGAAAACAACCGTTTAGTTGCTTTGCTTGTTTGTTAGTTTAGACTTGCATTAAAGTTTCATTGCTAGATAACAAGAATTCACCGAGTAGTCATCAAATCTAGGACCCGGGTTGACATTAAAACCCAAACCCGCTATACTACGCTTTAGTAAGTGGTTTCACTTGGCCATTTTCTAGAGTGACAGTAGGAGTGAGTCAGTTATTACTTAGTAGATGTATCAGATTCAGAGAATAATGATTTGGATTACATTGTACTCTATCTTATGGATTAATGGATGTTTTAGGATAAGATGCTTAAACCATTTTAATAATGGTTATCTCTTTCTCGAATTCATGATATAGTAAGTGCGTTTAATGTTATAATTGAAAATTTACATTTAAAACTTTAGGTATTATAATGTTGGATATACGGGGTGGGTATTACCCATGGGTACCCGAAACCCTTGGATATGGGATGGGTTTGCAAAACCTTACCTGGATGGGTATGGGAAGGGTATGAGTTTGGATATTTGAAAGCGGTGATGGGGATGATTTACACAAACCCACCCCGTTGCCATCCCTACCTACCAGGTAAATTTGAGGATTCTTCTGTAGTGGATCAACCACGCAAGGACCTAATTTGTTGACATATTCATTAGCCAACAACCCATCAAAGTGGGAAATTACCTTATGGATTTTTCAATGATGGTTAAAGTTAGGGTTATAATGTATATTTCCCCCTCCACTTTGCAAAGTTCTCAAACATGCCT